CCACTGCCCTCCAGTCTGGGTGACAGAGTGAGACTCCAACTCAAAAAAAAAAAAAGAACATGAAGCAGACAAATACTTCAGAGGCAGCTAGGTCTTTGACCACTCATTCCTCCACAGGGCTGCCTGAGATGCCTCTGCAATAGGGTGGGCTCCGCCCCCACACAGACTCCTCACCCCTGGTCAGGGTAAGAGTTCTTGAAGACAGAAAAGTCATCTTTGAGAGACCGGAGAGAAACCATTTCCTCTCCTTCCACATAGGGGCTGGCAAGGGGTGCTTCACTCCCAAGAGGCAAGGAAGACAGGTCCCAAGAGAGCCACTTGCCAAGGAAGGGGAGGTGGCGTGTCCTTCTGCAGGAGATCTGCCACCGGCCTCCCCTTGTGCAATTAGTCCAGGACAAAAGAGCAGGGTGGGAGGCTGCCAAGGGGTGGGGCCCAGATTGTGTCCCCGCTATAAGCTACTGGTTGCCACACGCTCCCAAAAGAATCGCAGCCTTTGGCAGGAGATAGAGATTTCAGGACAAAAGGCTTTCTCAGACCATACTGCAGCTTGGTGCAAAGAAGCACACACAAACAGAGGCAGCCCTCGACTGAGGGTCCAGGAGGAGGATGAGGCTGCAGAGGGGTGATTCTTTCTCACCCATGACACTAAGGAGGGTGCTTAGGGGTGATTCTTTATCACCCATGACAAGGTGTCAGAGCCACCATCTGTCCACATCACGTTCATAGACAAGAAGCCTGCTCAGTATTTACAAGCCAGGGACAGCCCCCTCTTGAGCCCCAGTCTCCCTCTGGCTCTTCCTCCAGCCTGGCTCTGAGCAGGGAGAGAAGGGGACTGTGTCTTCCCCATTCCAAGCTGTTGGACTCACCCTTGGACTTTGCATGTGGTGGGGAGAGCAGAAGCAGGCTTTGGGTCAAATGTTGGGGGTGAACTTTTTACATGAACAGCCTTAGAAACCAAAATGAGACTCTTGGATGTGAAACTGGACTGCGATATCACCAACAGATCTCACTACCCTTAGGAAAGAGGGTTTCAACGTGCAGAAGTCACGGAAGTGACTAGAGGAAAAAAGTATTTCATATATGAACACACGGAATTGAAACTCCTCACTACGATGGTTGCATTTTTCTTTAAGTTCCATTTTTAAGATCAATTTTTAAGTTCCATTTTTTTTTTTTTTTTTGAGTTGGAGTCTCACTCTGTCGCCCAGACTGGAGTGCAGTGGCCGCTCCCGGCCACCGCAGCCTCGACCTGCTGGGCTCCGGCAATCCTTCCGCCTCAGCCTTCCGAGTAGCTGGAATTACAGGCATGCGCGACCATGCCCGGCTGATTTTTTGATTTATTGTAGAGATGCGGTCTCGCTGCCCAGGCAGGTCTCGAACCCGCAGGCTCAGGCAATCCACTCACCTCAGCCTCCCAAAGGTGCAGGATTACAGGCTGAGCCACCGAGCCCGGTTAGGTTCCATTTTTAAGATCAAATTTTAAGTTCCATTTTTAAGAAAGATCTGATCATATTTCAATTCTGTCAAGAGGAAGGGAGTGAGGCCAACTGGAAGAGAATGAGGCAGGCGGGCACTTGAGGACTCTGAGTTCGCAGCGCACACTGGGGAAAGCGGAGGACAGAGTGCGCCAAGGATGGAGGATGCCAAGCAGGGTAGATGAGAGACCGGGGATTTATAACAACACCCTCTAACCACCCATGGGATTGCCCCAGCAGTCCTCAGCTCTCTGGGCACAAGCATGGAAAGAAGGGATAGTTGTGTTCATCTAGGATTTCTTTTCTCCCCCATGGACAGGGGGAGGAGAGTCAAGAGGGGAAGGTGTGCAGGGCATTGGCAGCAGGTACTGATATGATGAGCTGGGATCTGAGCCAGGTAGTGGGGAGGGCAGGCGAGCCCTGGGCACAGTGGAGAGCGCTGGGGGCAGGTGAGGATCTGGGCAGAGGGCGTCACTAACAAACAGTTCAGGAAGGTGTCAGCCACGGTGGCTGTTTTGTCCCAGTAGCTGTGATTATCGATATGCTCATGTACTGAGAGAGAGGGTCTCTGAAGTGGGTTCTAAGGGGATGCCAAAGTCACCCCAAAAATGGAGTGTCAAGAAAGACGGTGAGCCAAATGCCAAGATGTCCAACAAATGCAGGGGAGTGACAGGAAAGGAGATGAGAATGCTGGTGGAACCCCAAGGTCGGGACCTCTGAGGAGCAGAGGACCCAACAGAAGAGAACGAGGGTCAAGAAGTGGGAACGGGTACAAGAAGGACACTGACCTTGAGGAAGGGGGTGGACAGTGTCCTTAGGAGATGGCACATCTGGGTTTAAAGCAAGAGGCTGAGAGGATGTGCTGAAGGAGCTTGAGGATATAGACCTGCTGATTAAACACAAAGGCAACACCAGAGTGACCGATGGGGGGATTTGGCAAGAAGGGCGTCAAAGGGTGTTGGATCGGAGTCACAGGCAAGGAAGTAGAACATTCTAGAAGTGACAGTGCGGCAGAGGAGCCATTAAGAACAGCATAAGTGCCTCCTTATTCCATCCATAGGTAGGAAGAGCAGCACCTGGAAGTGACTAGAATCCAGGCAGGGGTGGGTCAGACTTACCCTCCACGTAGAGCAGGTGGTACTTGACAGAGATCTGAGACTTGCCCCCGGCCTCTGCCCGGCAGTAGACCACCCCCTGGTGCTCAGAATGAGGTTGCAGATACACGAAGCCTCGCTTCATGTCATAAATAATGTCCGTTCCATTGGCTGGAATTTCCTTGGCTGGGAACTCCCTGTGGAGTGTGACCTTGGCTGACAGCACAGTCACGCGACAAGGAACCACAGCCTGTCGGTCTGGGTTCAAGTATACAACATCAAAGTAGCTGGGAGAAGGCACAAAAAGTTCTCCTTTCTCTGCAAGGGGAAGACACAGGCTTATTTACTTGGAGAAGTGAGGTATGAACACCTTGAGGATTCTGGCAATACTGAGTCCTCATGTATAGAAAAGGCTGGCTTTTAAAAAATACTTTTCATTTTTGGAAGAATTGATTTTGCTTCCCATTTCCTTAAGGGAAACAAACAAGCAAAAGAAGGTATTAGTTCAAGCCCAAATCAGATCCTGAGGAAGCAGGGAAGGAGACTGACTTCCTTAGGTTAAGACTAGTTTTTTGGGGGTTTTTTTGAGTTGGAGTCTCACTTGGTCGCCAAGACTGGAGTGCAGTGGCTGCTCCTGGCCACCGCAGCCTTGACCTGCTGGGCTCCGGCGATCCTTCCTCCTCAGCCTTCCGAGTAGCCAGAATTACAGACATGCGCTACTATGCCTGGCTGATTTTTTGATTTATTGTAGAGATGAGGTCTCACTGCCCAGGCGGGTCTCGAACCCATGGGTTCAGGCAATCCACTCACCTCAGCCTCCCAAAGGCACGGAATTACAGGCTGAGCCACCGAGCCTGGCTAAGACTAGTTTTAAAACCTTGGAGCCACGTGCTGCTCCGGTGTGGAGAAATCAATGTCACAGCCAAGGTCAGAAACTGCCCAGCCATGGGGTCTCTGGAAGGCCAAACGCAAGTGACAGCACTGGTGTCTTCAGCCTGTTCTCACACTCACAGCCCAGAGGACCTGACATCTGCCAACACTAGCGGAAAGGAATGGTGTAAGGCAGAGGTGGGACCTGTCAGTATCAGGTCTACGCTTGACTTGGCCACCATCTGGTTGGGACCTTCAGTCTCTTATATTCCCTCTGAAATCACCCTGCCCGATTCTTTAAACTCTAGATGCTGGCATTTTTGTCTTACAGAAATGGGAGAAATGAGGACTGGCTTACCTGTACTGTCCTTAGAATAGACAGAGGACTCTGGATTAGGATTTTTGGGTTTTTGTTTGTTTGTTTTGAGCCAGGGTCTTACTGCGTTGCCCAGGTTGGACTGCAGTTGCATGATCTTGGTTCACTGCAGCCTTGACCTCCTGGGCTCAGGAGATCCTCCCTGAGGAGGATCCCAGGGATCCTCCTAGCTAACTCAAGTAGCTGGGACACAGGCCACAACACCCAGCTAATTTTTTTAATTTTTTGTAGAGATGAGGTCGTTGTGTCGCCCAGGCTGGTCTCAAACTCCTGGGCTCAAGCAATTCTCCTACCTTGGCTTCTCAAAGTGCTTGGATTAGAGGCATAAGCCATTGTGCACAGGAAATTTTGGGGTTTTTTTGTTGGTGGTTTCTCTTCTTTTTATTTTTTCTTTTTGTCATGGCACAGTAAATCCTTTGTTTATCTGGATCATTCTGTGAGGGAATATTATACTAATTGCTAAGAGAAATCTTTGGAGCTAATCATATCCTAACACATGCTAAATTGTTTCCTGTGTTTTCCCTGCAACGTACCTGAAATAAATAATTATTCTTGGCTTTCTCCTCCTCTAGCTTTCCTTGTGTCACAGTTGTATGGTGTTTTAGGTTAGGGATAGAGTTCCTGGACATAACATCAAATGCTTCCTGGGTCAAGAGTACTTGGGCTATGAGTACCAAGTTCAATAACATGGAGGCTCTTTCTCCTGGCTTTCATTAAGATCAGGAGCATGTGGCCCAGGGAGTGTAAATATTTTACAAGCCTTTATAACAGTCTGGGTGATTTGTGCTACTTTATGCTAAATTGACTCTCGGGCTTAGGCAGAGGCACCTTTGTTAATGTACCCAACATTCAGGTCTTCACACAGTCAGTCTACATGATGTTAGATGTGTTATTTAATCTCCCTGTGTTTCAACATCCATATTTGTGAGGAGAGAATCTGGAGTAGATAATATTAAAGACGTATTTTTAGCAATAACACTTAAGGATCTTATAGTTGTAAGATTTTAGAGGTACCTTTTAAGAGCATGTAGCATAATCTGAACTAATAAGCCAAGCCAACAGAATAAGTGAACCATCTGAATTTCAGAATACAAAAATGTCATCTGACTTCTTGTACTACAATACATGCTTCAGAATAAGTGGCCATACCAGTTGCTTTAAAAATATATTTGCAATCAGTAGTCTTTCATCTGCAAAAAAAATGTTGATATTCATTTTGATAATTATAGATTACATATGTTGCTGCAAATGTATTTCCACCCACTCAGATGACAAACATATTATTGTAAGAAAACTAAACACATGGGATTTTAGATTTCCAAAAATAAAATGAATATGTTATAAACAAAATTCAAATTACAGCAAGCTCAGTATTTAGTAATGTATTAAAGTGGTTTCCTACACATGAAAACTACAGCTCAAGCGTTTTACGATGAGAAAGCCCTGCTTCTGCTGTTTTCATCCTTGATCTGGGTGGTGGTTACATGTTCTGTTTGTTTGAGGATAATTTATTAGCTGTATACTTAGGATTTAAGTGTTTTTTCTTTACATATGTTATACTTCAATAAAAAGTAAGCAAGGAGGATCCCTCTGAGAACTTCCTGGATAAAGATAAAAGAGGAAATATATGTAGCAGTTGCTTATTCAAAAATTGCACAAACTAACAAGTCAGTTCCCCAGAAGAAGCATCGCAGTGTTTTCAGTTAAACTCTAGGAAACATACAAACATAATGAATGACAGATGTTTTTCTACATGGGTAGCTGTAGAGATGTTCTGGAAGAATCCAGAGCTAGCAGTGGAAATTTCAGCTTCTATAACAGTCCATCTTGGTTTTTCAAACCACCTATGTTCAAAAAGACAAATCGCACAAGTCCAACTCTTAGTGTTCAGGAATAAGAAAATGATCCAACTTAGCTATCTATCTGTCTATCGTCTATTTTTCTATCTAGATATTTATTTATTTTTGAGAAAGCAGGATTTATTGAGAGAACAGAAAAGCCCCCACAGTGGGAGGGGACCTGAAGAGGTTGCCTGATCCAACATATTTAATGTCACCTTTTTGGTCTGGGTTTTTGAAAGTTGAAATAAATATGTTTTAGCCTTCCTTTGGTTCACAAAAGGACTTTAGTAGATTAAGAAGGAACACATACCTTCAAAACTCAAAAAGAGCCCATAACTCTAACAGAACATTCTACTTAACAAAGCCTTCTGTTTAAAACCTTGACAAGCCAGGCTCGGTGGCTCAGCCTGTAATCCCAGCACTTTGGGAGGCTGAGGTGAGTGGATTGCCTGAGCCCGTGAGTTCGAGACCCGTCTGGGCAACTTGGCATGACCTCATCTCTACAATAAATAAAAAAAAATCAGCCAGGCATGGTAGCGCATGCCTGTAGTTCCAGCTACTTGGAAGGCTGAGGCGGTAGGATCGCCGGAGCCCAGCAGGTCGAGGCTGCGGTGGCCGGGAGTGGCCACTGCACTCCAGTCTGGGCAACAGAGTGAGACTCCAACTCAAAAAAAAAATTAAATTAAATTAAAAAATAATAAAAAAAATAAAACCTTGACGAATATTTTGGGAAGACATAAGTATGTTAATCTTGGCAAATAATCTTCATTCTCCTATTTGAAAGATGGAATAATGGTCTTTTATAGTCTTAATTGATTGCCTTTTCCACTGTTGTTTCACAGTGTGGTATCACACAAAGGGTACATGGGTAATTCCGTGTAGCATATTCCAAAATGAGGATCTGAAGGGACTGCCCAGAAACAACTGTTAGCAATTCTCCTGACAACAGATATCTATGTAGTGAGTGTCTGGCTTGCTATCAGTGCATCCATTACCTTGAATGAGAAAGGTTGGTTCAAGGCAGTAAGAACACTGGATCCTGGGTCAGAAAAACAGAGTTTGACTCCTTACTCTGCCACTTTAAGTCATGCAACATTGAGTCTCAGCATCACATTAGAATTTTTTAAATAGAGATAATAAAGTTGCCTTTACGCATCTCCTAGGAGTGTTGTAGAAATGAAATGAGATACACATGCTTCCAGAATTGTAGCTAATGCATCTTCTCACCAGAGAGGAGGAGCTATTTGGACAGGAAGGGAAAAATACATAAGGTTTTACTAAAACTTTAATGAATGGCCAGGGAATAAGATCATTAGAGTCATAGTTCTACATCATTCTGGGTTTGAAAGGTAGGTGGATTCAGGTAGCCCAATCTCATGAAAGCCCTTGCCCAGACACTAAAAGAGGATTCTGACTTCACCTGAAATGCCTCAGACAACAAAAGGACTTGGGATGGAATTTGCAAGATTCCTGAAAGCTGTTCCTCACCTCTGAACCTTGTTGGAGAACTTCATCCCTAAATTTTAGAGCTTAAAGAACTCTGCAGAGGAAAGAGGCCGAGCAGCTACTCTGTGACACCCACTTCTCAGAGTGCAAGCTACACCTTGCAAACACATCCCTCGCACTGCACGGGAGAGAGTTCTCCACTCTGACCTGCCAAGTTTTCAGGACTCTACTTAGGCTCAGGGATTGGGACTGAAGCCACAAGGCCCCCAATCCTTAGAAATCCTGCTCCCAAATCCTCAGTTCATAGTCCTCATAAGAGCAAACAAGAATCTTATGATGATGGAGTTTCTAGGAAAGAGCTTATCATAGGTTTTGGGAGCATGGTGATGAAAAGTCAACAACAGCACCATCCAATAGAACTTTCTGTGAGACAGGAAATGTTCTCTCTCTGTGCCATGCAGTATAATAACCATTGGCCATGTCACAATTTTTTTTTTTTGAGTCAGAGTCTCACTCTGTCACCCAGGCTGGAGTGCAGTAGCATGCTCATGGCCACCACAGCCTCGATCTGCTGGGCTCTTTCCAAGTAGCTGGGATTACAGGCACACACCACCACCCCACACCCAGCTAATTTTTTTTTTTTTTGAGTTGGAGTCTCACTCCGTGGCTCAGGCTGGAGTACACTGGCATGCTCACGGCCACCCCAGCATCGACCCGCTGGGCTCCGGCAATCCTTCTGCCTCATCCTTCCAAATAGCCGGAACTATAGGCATGCACTACCATGCCTGGCTAATTTTTTATTTATTGTAGAGACGATGTCTCACCAAGTTGCCTGGGCTGGTCTTGAACCCTCAGGCAGGCAATCTACTTGCCTTGGCCTTCCAAAGTGCTAGGGATTACAGGCTGAGCCATTGAACCTGGCCATTTAAAAAAATTCATTGCAGAGATGAGGTCTCGCCAAGTTGCCCAGGCTGGTCTTGAACCCCTGAGCTCAGGTAATTCTCTCCCCTCCACTGCCCAAAATGCTGGGATTACAGGCATGAGCCACCACTTCTAGCCTCATATGTCACAATTAAAATATGGCAAGTCATCGAGAAAGTTTCTAATTTTATTTCATTTTAATTAATTTTCATTTAAATTTAAGCAGTTGCATGTGTCTAGTGGCTGCCGGATTAGATGATGCAGGTACAGACCCTAGAATCAGATAGTTCTGTGTTCAAATCCTGGTACCACCACTTACATATTGTATGACCTTAAGGACTTCTTTAATCTCTCTAAGCCTCAACTTTCCCCTCTTAAAAAAAAAAAAAAAAGGAAAGGAAATGATATCTGTATTTACCCTGAAGGCTTGTTGTAGACTTACATGCAATATTGATATAAGGCACTTAGCCCAGATCCTGGCAAACAGTGAGTGCTCTTATTGTCATTTCTTGCTATTCAGCAAGCAATGGGAACCTTCAGTTCTGGGCCCAGTTCGGAAGTTTACATTTTACCTGTAAACAAGATGTAGGTGGAACCTGTTTTGGCCTCGTCCCTTCTGCAGATGTAGCCGTTGCAGAGCTGCGCCCAGCAGCTGAATTCACCCGTGTCAGCGGAGGTGGAATTGACCAGAGTCAACTGGCCATAGCGCTCGTGCTGCTTGACACTATGAACAAAAGAGATAAAAACTCAAAGCAGGTCAGACCTGGCCCAGGGGCCCTCCAGCCATCACACCCAACTCCACTGTTCTCCAGGGAGTGGCTATGGGCAGACTTTCCCTGCCCTCTCTCCAACGGCACAAACTAATAAGTGTATTCAGGGAAAATGGGTGTATGGGGGAGGCAGAGAGAAAAGCCTTTCCTCAAAGGAAACAATAAATGACCATGATGTTTGCCAGGGAGAGGAAATTCTCTTTGGCCTCAGAACTGGGGCTTCCTTAAGTAAAATCATTGGTGCATTTGCTACACAACCTCAGAAGCTCAGCCAAAAAGCCTTGGGCTGGTGTTTTGCTTTAGCCTATTTCTAATGAATTCATTTAAAGCAGGCAAAGTGAATGAAAGCACACAACATTCTCCAATATTCAAAATCCCTTTCATCAATAAGGATAAGGCTCTGAATATAAGGTTGGCATCTTAGAGATGCCACATTATCATAAAACAAATACAGACTTTCCTTTAGAAAAAAAAATGCATTGGCTGCTAAGATTTGGAGTCCTATGTTTGCAATACTTTTTAAAAAGTACTTAGAGTCTTTGGGCATTTGGAATTTTCCTCTGACCTCACTCTATTATTTCTACTTTTATTTTCTCTTGTATTTTTTAATCTTGTCACATAGCAAATATATTTGCAAACCCCTTCCATTTCTTTTTGAAATGAAGAAAGGCATAAATATTTATTATTGAACACCAGCATTCATTAATTGTAAAGGTAATTAACTACCTTTACAATTCCCTGTGACTTATGAGTTTCAGCATGTGGGGATGCTGAAATAAGTGGGTTTTGGTTTCTGTTTTGAGACAATATCTGGCTCTGTCACCCAGGTTGGAGTGCAGTGGCACGATCATGGCTCATTGCAGCCTTGAACTCCCGGGGCTCAAGAAATCCTCCTGCCTCAGCCTTCTGAGTAGCTACAGGTGTGCGCTACCACGCCTGGCTAATTTTACACACACACACACACACACACACACACACACACACACACACACACAATTTTTTGTAGTGATGGGGAGGTCTCACTATGTTATCCAGGCTGGCCTCAAGTGATCCTTCCACCTCAGCCTCCCCAAGTGCTGGAATTACACTTTCACTCCTTTGAGAGCCACATACTCTTATGATGTAGCCAAGGGTCTTCTGTTTTCTCTTGCAGCAATATCAATATGGTGACTACTTTATGTTTAGCACATGGCAAAATGTTGGGTTGGTTGGTCCTAAACACAGCCCTGTCCTGGTTCACTGCTGAATAGCTTGTTTTGCCCACCAGTCTGCCAAGTGATGCCTCCATACTCCCACTCCATCAACGCCCTCCTTTCAACTGAACGGAAATCTCTCCTCCTGCAGGAAGCTTCTCATTAGGATCAGCGCCCAGGAATCTCCCCACTTTTTCCTAAAGACACAATCGACTCCCTTGTTCTCCACATCTCGGATACCCTTGGCTTCCTGTCATAGCACTAGATGGTAAAAACTTTGAGGAAGGGAGTGTGCCTTATTTGTTTTATATTCCCTAAGCAACAAATCTGTGCAGAGTACACAGTAAGGACTCCCTAAATACAAGTGAATTGAATTGAACCACAGTGTCAGAAAGAAGCTGGAGACGCAGTTCTCCAGGTCCTTATTTTGCAAATGAGAAAACTGAGTCTCAGACAGCAGAAGCGGTGGCTTTCCTGAGTGCCCACAGCTGGTGAAGAACTGAGCCAGTCTTTCTTAAGTCAATTAAGTATGTACTGAATACCCACTCATTAGATAGGAAAATGCATACAAATCACTTCATGCAATGCCTGGTTTATTGTATTATCCCAGTTACATCTTAATTACATATAATTATAGATTAATAGTAGTAATTGTAAATACTACTATAGCAATGAGAAATAGTACACACTCAGCATAGCAAATAAAAAATGGGCCTTCAGGAGATTACAGTTTGGTTAAGAAGTTAAAACAGCCGGGCTGGGTGGCTCAGCCTGTAATCCCGTGCCTTGGGAGGCTGAGGTGAGTGGATTGCCTGAGCCCGCGGGTTCAAGACCCACCTGGGCAGCGAGACTTCATCTCTACAATAAATCAAAAAATCATCCGGGCATGGTAGCGCATGCCTGTAATTCCGGCTACTTGGAAGGCTGAGGCGGAAGGATCACCGGAGCCCAGCAGGTCGAGGCTGCGGTGGTCAGGGGCGGCCACTGCACTCCAGTCTGGGCACCGAGAGAGACTCCAACTCAAAATGCCTATTTTTTAAAAATAGAGA